AAAACTCAAACAAAGGTTTACTATATGTTTTCATAAAGTTACAAAAAAAACCTGCGGACAGTACGGAGTACGGATCAGCCAAAAGCAAACTCTGGTGTTTTTCTCTGTTAGCTAAGAAATGTTGAATGTAGAGCAATGAGTATTACAATTACGGCTTTTGCGCAAGCCAGAATGTAATTGGCATGTTACTGTACCTTGCCAAGTGAAAAATAAAGAATTAACATTTTTTTTTTTAAATTACAGATTTCAAAATCTGAATTAAGACCATACGTGGTAAGGGTGTTGAGTCTAAAAATCCATTGCATTTCTTCCTAACTTAATTTAAGATTAAAAATACCCCTTCTCCAATCCTTCATAACTTTTTTAAACCCATAAAAACAGTGCCCACCAGTGATTTATCATGACATTGCTTATAATGTAATGGTACTGTAACAAATTCATCCGCTTATGGTAAAGTGTTTGATGGTATTTACCGTCCTGACAGGAATAGTTGTGCCCATCTACATTTTCATGCCCGGATACCTGATAAACCCAGCATGTCTATGGACGCCGTCCACTGCAGATCTATGCCACTTTATAGCCCCATGAGCGCACGCACGTTTTGGGGTCAAAGACCGATTACAGCCAATCGGAATAACAAGAGGGTTATTTAAACTTATTTTTACATTATCTCATTGCTCTGTTGTGGTTTCTGCCTGATGGTAATCCGAGAGTGCGTTCCTGATCTTGATGTTTTGGTATTTGACTTTGGCTTTGTTCATACTTCCCTGATTTCTGGCATCCTTGACTTTTGGCTTTTTCTCATCCTTGTGTCTGATTCTGTATCCCTGACCTCGGCTAGTATTCTGACTATTCTTGTATACGTTAAGTCCGGCCATTCCAAGGTCCGGTTAGACATTATCCTTAGTCCTAGGTGTGACACGTGCTGGATCAATTAGTAATCCTGATAGGTACACTATGAGACTCTGATCCATTTAAAATATTTCTAATATGTTCTTCAATTCTGGTATGCAGAGCCCTAGTGGTCTTGCCAATATAGTTAAGAACACAGGGGCACTGGATAACATATATTATATTTTTTGAATGGCAGGTGATGAGTTCTTTAATTGGGTAATTATCTCCTTCTTTCGACAGGAAGTTATTGTGTTTTCTTTTCCCATTTCCTGTTATTTTACAGGCCAGACATTGGCCACACCCAAAAAAGTATTTTTGTGTATTGAGAAAGGTATTTGATACTTTCTTTTCTTTAATAAAACTCTGTGTATAAAAATTGGTTGTTCCGGTAAAAACGTCTTTAAAATCGGATCTTGTAATAAAATGGGCCAGAATCGTTTTATAATCCCTCTAATTTTATAATTTTCTGTACGGTAATTGCATACAAAGGAAACTCCTTTCATTCTCGTTTTTGCTTAATTTTTTTATCTCTGCGGTCCACTTTAGTTATTTTCATTCTTGATTCTTCTAATTTGCCTTCTTTTTCCAAGAAATCGTATTTTATTCTACTCGATTGGTTTTCATAGGTATCCATATCAGTACAGTTGTGCCTGATTCTTAAAAATTGTCCCTTTGTGGCATTTTCTAGCCAAGGGGTAAAATGGCAACTATCTCTCCCTATAAAACTATTTGCATCCACAAGTTTTTTGTTTTAATTTTTCCATCTTCAATAAAAATGCTCAAATCCAAAAAAGATACTTCTTGTTCACTCCAAGTACTGGTAAGGTTGATGCCTCATATATTACTATTTATAAATGTTAAAAATTCCTCTAAAACTTTCAAACCACGTCCCAGATGAAAAAAAAGTAATCTATGTAATGTCCATAGATGGCAAAGTTCTCCCCCTAGCTCTGTCCACCATACACGAAATGGTTCTCCCAAAAAACCATAAATAAATTGGCGTAGCTGTAGACGAACTTAATCCCCATGGCTGTCCCATTATTCTGCAGAAAAAAATCTTCTTTAAACCAAATATAGTTATTTTTGAGGATCAGTTGGATTCCCTCTAAAATAAATTCTATTTGAACATTTAACATTTCTGTAAAATGCCTTAAAAATAATCTAAAGCTTTGCTACCATACTCGTGAGGTATGTTACTATAAAGTTCTGCCACATCACAAGTAACTAGCATATAGCCTCTCATATATATTTTATTTTGATCCAGTCCTTCTGGATGACCGCTCTTTTTGTTTGGTTTTTGTTTTATCTTTTTCTTTGTAACTATAATCAGGGTTGTGGTTTGTAGTGGGGAAGGGGGTAGGTAATTATTGCAATGAACTCCTACCCTCCAGTTTTCCCCTTTAAATCCCATATTCACCCTCTTTTACGTGAAGTTTGGTCTAATTATTAAATTGATGTGGCAAATTAACATTCTATACACCTACCCTCCTGTTCCTTATAATCAGACTCTACTAATATACCAGTTTACTTCCATTATCTTTATCATTGTATCTACCAATACTATTTATTCACCTTTTTGAATATCTCTAATATTTCCAATATCTCTAATTTTCAGATTATATCTGTGACGAGACCAATCTCGCCACATTGCATTGGAGAAGCCTGGTTGCTCGCCTGTTGCCTTTGGATTATGGCCCCATATTAAAAGGCTTGATTTTCCCCTGCAAAAACATGAAAGCCGGGTCATTTGGTGCTTGCCCTGTTTGAGCGGTGATACCTCAGATAGCTATACCATGGAGCCCATTCGTATAATGAAAGACTATGGGAAAGACTTTGGCTCCATGGCAATTGAACTGTATGTGTGTGCTCTGAGTGCCATTCAGTAATAATGTGCACTCAGATCTGAGCTATCTGTGGATATGTTGCATGTACCTGTTTTGTGCAATGGCTGCACAGTTATATGTTTTTATGTGTTTTATTGTCTTTTGCTGCCATGTGTTCAATGGAGTTTTGCCTCTGTCTTTGGAGATAATTGGATTACTTCCCAATTATCTCCAGGATAGAAGACTCTGTGGAACTGGTTTTGGGCAGAAAAACCATGCTTCCTTTGGTCACAAAGGACTATGATCTGTCTTTTGAACCACTGGACCAATTTGTATGATTTTGACATATGTTTGTATTTGGAGTATGCTGATTCTGAAAATGTAAGTCACATTATGTGAATGTGATGCATACTTTTCAAGTTATGAATAATGTGGAAAAATTGTATTTCTCTGCTTGTTATAATTACATTACCCATTGTGTAAGGTAATTGTATCACAGGCAGAGGGGAGGATTCTGTGTGGGAGTGTCTGAGTGTATTGTATGTGTTTATTGGTTGTGTTCCAAAACCCTGTGGGTGGTACTAATGTGTAAGAATGTGTACATAAGCACAATAAACCCACAGCTCTGACTGTTCACTGTTTGACCCTCAACACGGAGCTTTGTCGCGTTCTTGGGGGGATTTATTGTATGCTGTTCCAGTTTGACTGCTAGGAGTGTAAACCTATTCGTATGGTTTTTCCTATTCGGCTGTTTACAGCATTCGTATGGTTTCCTGTTCGGCGGATTGGTGTTCTGCAGTAGCTGTGCCTGTGTCTCTGGAAGGGAAGATCTACTAAACGGCGGTTTAACCCTTTTATGCTGAGGGTGCCGTTACATTATCTAATTTTGAATCTTAATGCTAAGCTTTATTCTTCCGATCCACATAGACAGCTGCTATATTATTGTCTACATTTTAGCCTTCCACTTGGAATAACATTTTATTACTAAATTGCTTTTATTTCTTGATACTATCTTTCTACATGGGTTGATCAAGAATTAGTATATTTTCTCACGTTTGCTGTGATTGATAGATACAAGCCAGATAGGCAGACCCCCTAGATTTCTCCTTTTCACAAGTCACTTTTGTGTTTTTCACTTGTCCTCTTTTTTCTTTTTCACTATTATGTAGATATGCCCTTTAACCCCTTAAGGACCAAGCTTCTGGAATAAAAGAGAATCATGACATGTCTCACACGTTATGTGTCCTTAAGGGGTTAAATACTAATAAAGTTTATATTTAAATTTTTTGTTTCTTACCAATCATAGTGGGTTGTATATGTTATATGTGGATAATCTAACCTTTTTTGAGAATCGTTACCCATTGTCTTTTGACTTGGGCCCCCTTTTTTCAAAGAAAGATTTGTTATTCTTTTTTTCAATTTTGTCTGAACCCTGTCGACCTTTAATAAACCCTGATTGGTTGTTATGTACCAACTTAACAATTCTGTTACTAAGAAGTTTAGCATACATTTTTACGTCATTATTCAACAATGACATAGGTCTGAAATATTTACAACTATTCGAAGATTTACCTGGTTTTGTCAAAGTAGATATATATGCCAGGAGCATGTCCTCTGGAAATACCCCTGTTTGTGTGCACTGATTAAACAATGACACCAGATGTGGTGGTATGTCAGAAAAGGTACGATAATATATGTTCAAGAGCCCGT